TATGTTGTGTTAACATACTTTTTGTCGCACGTTGAGCTGATGAATACATATGAAAAAGTATCGTAAATTCATGTATCCGGAAATAGGGAGATAAAACCTATTTGCCGCAGAACGATTGAGTAATAGTATTACAAAAGTATCGTTATTTCATGTATCCGGAAATAGGAAGATAAAACCTATTTGCCGCAGAACGATTGAGTAATAGTATTACAAAAGTATCGTTATTTCATGTATCCGAAAATAGGAAGATAAAACCTATTTGTCGCAGAACGATTGAGTAATAGTATTACAAAAGTATCGTTATTTCATGTATCCGGAAATAGGGAGATAAAACCTATTTGCCGCAGAACGATTGAGTAATAGTATTACAAAAGTATCGTTATTTCATGTATCCGGGATAGGGAGATAAAACCTATTACCGCAGAACGATTGAGTAATAGTATTACAACAGTATCGTTATTATATGTATCCGGAATAGGAAAATAATAAATCCTATTGCCGCAGAGCGATTGAGTAACGAGCATTACAAAAGTATCGCTATAGTACAATATGATGCACACATAGATATTTGATCAGTTGTAAGTTTTACTTCCCAGATAGTTTGCCCGCGAGTAGGGTATTTTCCTTTGAGAATTTGTTGCACCCGTTATGAACGGCAGATATATTTGTTTTAGCTTAGTTGGTATCCTCTTATATTAGAGCAGGTCACTCGGACGTAATTCGAGATGAGATGATTATTCTTTATGTTGGAGATTGGAGTATTTATCATTGATTATTTGTTTTTCATTCATAGAGAGTTATATGAATGATTTGATATATGTATGTACTGACTCTATTTTCTTATATACTCCTACCCCTTCCCCTGGGGAGAGGTAGTGATGATCTCGCTAGCGCTTTGACGCTCGTTGTTTTCCCCCCTTTCAGGCAGCGAGTCTGGCGCACGGAGAGTCGCAGGTTGATGAGACTTTTTAGTTGTCCATTTAGTTACTTATCATATTTTGTAGTTATTGCAGAACTCCACATGTAGTTGATAAATTTTAAAATCTAGATTTGTATTTTGTTTCATAGAGTTGAGAGCTATTGTGAGACTTTGTTTATGTGACTCATTGTATTCGAGATTTAGTTCAGACTCAGAGATATGTCTATTTTATTCCAGTTGGGCTCATTATTGATTTTTCTTATGCTTCTTCTGTGTATATCCAGTGTTGTCCTATTTCTATTTTTACCTGTCTGTACTTTCACCTATTTATTGTTTCCCCTAGAGAGATAGTGATTGTGATGGTGAAACTTGTCATGGCATGGTGGTTGGTGCTTGGCAGGTTTGACAATCCGGGTTTCACCTGGGACTGCAGCCTTGTGTGAACCCTGGGGCGTCACAATCTATTACATGCCTCTGATAGGTCTTGAATACATTATAAACTTTTAAATACATCAAAGAACTATCCAATAAGTATCCAATACCATAAAGTATCTGAGTGCCCAAGTACCTCCAGATAGATATAGAATACATTATAAACTTTTACATACATCAAAGGACTATCCAACGAGTATTCATAATGCATCAGAGTACCGCAGTACCTCCACCGACGTATTACTATATGATATCTAAATCAAATGAATTTATTGGATTTGGGTACCAAATTCAAACCTAAGCTTTCGCATCATAGATTGCCTAAGTGGGTTATTATCTTCAACATCATGCCAAGGTCAACCACTTTCTCTGACATATCATTTCAAACATAGATTTAAATTTCCAGTAATGGATACTTTTCCCTTTGTGCAATGTACCCAGGTCCTCTTTATTTGACAGAATCCAAGTCCTATGGTTCAAACCTATGTTACCTAGGTACTTCTCTCTAAAGTTGTACCCATACCCAACACATACCCCTTACTCATAATTGCACGAACACTTCCTTGGACACTTCTTGAATATATGCACACATTTAATTAGGTGTGTACTCAATCGTATAATACATGTTTTAATCTAAAACACTTGTCATACATTTGTTGGACCAGGGCATATATCCTACACTTCACATCCACTTCTTGAAATTCATTAGACACGGGTCAAGTTCTTTTCAACCCAATCTAGTTCAAAACTATGATTTTAAAGTTTCCTCTTGGCTCTAGTTCAAAAATAAGTGGTTTTCCAATTTATTATCTACATAAAGAAACATAGAAATGTTATAGAAATTTTAATTCTCATAATATGCGAATGTTTAATCTTGCAAAAAAATTTTGCTATGTAAATTATTAATCTCAATATAGATAGAGATACAAATAGTTGTGTCCTATACCCTAAGTTTTTCAAATTTGTTATGTCATGTACCCGTATCTGTACCCATGCAGCATAGGTTCAAACTAACCTTTCTTTTAGAGGTTCTTATTCACTAATCTCCTAAGAACACCAAGATGTCAGATGGTGTCTATCAGCCAATAACCAAGAACTAAACATGTTTGTCACAGAAAAACTAGTACATAAGTACTAGCATCGAACGTGCAAAAATATTCAATTAGATGATTAATCTTAAGTTTTCATGTAATAGTTTGATAATGATGATTTGACTAAATTGCACTCAAAAAGCACTTATATATATCCCAAGTTTCGGAACGGAGCACAAAAAAAGCCTAAGTTGTTCACCATGTGAATTTACTTAAACATGAAAAGATGAAAATGCCCTTCTACCTAAATAACGTCCCACAGTAAAAAAACTTCAAATTTTACTGTTACAACCAGTTATCCCCCCCTCTCACCCTTGGCACAATTGTATAACAAGAAACTAGGGTTTCATGCCTCTAATACTTGACTTTAGCCCCGTATATGAGCGAGAACATCTAATCTTGGTTTGACGAGCTGCAGCAGGTAATCTTAATTCTAGGGTTTTAATTTGGAGGAAATTACTCAGATTTTGAAGAGGAAGAAGAAGATAAAGAAGATGAAGAAAAAGAGGAGGAATGGTATTTAATAAGGAGAGGGAGTGGTAGAGTTCTAATTAATACAACTAAGGATAGTTGGCACTTACATTAGTCACATGAGGTAGCATGTGGGAATATTCTCACGGCTGGTTAACAGAAGGTATCGAACTGCACTTTTTCTACAACTGAGGGTATTTTTTGCCCCGTTTTAAAACTTGGGGTATATAACTACTTTTTTGGAAAACAATGCAGTATTCAAGTTCAATTTAGCTATGATTTAATTTATGCAATTTTATATGGAGCTCTACATAGAAAATGTATCTAAAAGTGTTATTTATCCATTAAATCTATCTTAACATAATTTTGTTGAGTAGTTTTCTAATTGCGGATAATATAATTAGAGTAAGTAATTAAAATAAAGAAGAAAAATGGGGATATTGGAATTTAATTATGTGTGTATTGTCATTTCATGATTTAAAATATTATAGAAATAAGAAAGGAAGAAAGGAAATAAATGTTTCTCTTGAAAAATTAGAATTTTAATTATGCGAGTTCAAATACTATACTCATGTCATGATTTAGAATCTTCTAGAAACAGAAAATAAAAGAAAGGAAAGGAAAAAAATCTCCCTTGCAAAATTACTATTTTACACCTCCAAATTACAATTGGAAAGAGAAAAATATCCACCACTCATCCCACTTTCACTACCCTCACTATTCATTATCTATACTAATATTTAATGAACTTAGTGGGGATAGTGAAATTTTTGGAGGAATGAATGACATTTCCTCCTTCCTATAGTGATAATAAGGGAATAATTGTAATTTTACAGAAGATATTTTTTTTCATTTCTTTTCTTTACTTATTCCTAGAATATTCTAAATCATAACACAAGAATGTGATTTGACTTAGATAATTAAATATTAAGATATTTAATTATGCGAGTTCAAATCATATTTTCATGTCATGATTTAGAATGTTCTAGAACTAAGTAAATAAAAGAAAAGTAAAGAAAAATAAAGGGTTATCTCTCTTGCGAAATTCCAATTGAAATATTATTATAGATGTTATAAGAGAGAAATATAAGATGATAAGTTTCTATCTAGAAAAAAATTATTAGATATACGTCAATGCAAGATATATACAACGATTGAAATTTTGACTATGATCGTTTTTAAGGATCCTTTTTAATAGAGTTTTTTGAAACAAGAAATATTATCTACAATGATTTTACTTACTGTTTAATAAATAAAATTTTAACCTTCTCATGCTCCAATGACTTCGTTCCCAAGTCTCAAATTTACAAGAACATCACATCATTAAATTTTACAAAAAAACTATATTACTTTGGAGTATGTTTAGCAGATTTGAAATTTAAGATATAAAACTTAAAAAAGATGAAACTTTGGGTATATAAAGGCAAGTTAACCCTTCTTATAAGAAAAGAGGATAAGTTGAACATCAATTTGCTCATGCGGCAATGCTAGTATAGTAGTAGAGATATTTAATAGCAGCATCAAGTCATTCAACCCTTTGCCTCCAATTAAACAGAAGTTTTGGCTATGAGAAGCATGTCAATCAAACTCCAAATTTCACTAAGTGTTTTGCAAATCCATTGTCAAAGAAAATGTAGTATAGAAGGTTTTGTAAACAAATCATGTCAGTTGAATAGTGACGCTAGTGCTATTCCTAATTTTAAGCTCGCACAATAAGGGGAAAGGCCATCCAAATTTGTAAATCATCCAAATTTGTAAATCCTAGGAAATATCCTACAGGATGGATGCAAATAAAACGAGCTTCTAAGGAAATTGCATTCCTCTTTAGGAAAAATTTAAAAACCAAAAGAATTTGCATTATATGATGCCATCATAGCAATAAATTTGAAAAGAATATCTAGTTAAATTCAAAGAAAAAGTGAACTTTCAACTTTCAAGTAATGAACCTTGCCCAATAATAAACTAGTTAATGTATTGTGACAACTAATATAAGTAATAATAAAGCCATATATAATAATAAAGCCATATAAAAACATAAGTAATAGACTAGGAGCAAGAAAGACAGCTTCATGCAAGTGTTATCTTACACAATAGAATGGTGCACACGATCCTTGAGAGAGTGCCATTTTCGCCTTACAACAGCAAGGTTTCTCTGTTATGGCATGCAAAGAAAATTAGTCACCAACTGGATTTACATAAAATCCCGAGTTTATTCATCACTTGACTTGGTTAAAAGTTTTTGTTGGAAAATCAGTTTCGCATCTCATAATAAATTCATAGGTTTAATTTCACAAAACCCCTTGAACTTTGGGGTGTGGTGGACATAACCCCCCAAACTTTGTTTATCTCACATAACCACCCTGAACTTTGAGGTGTTTTGCCAGGCGAATTTTGAGCTTTTCTCGCCGGACCCCATACATGTAAATTGCAAATAATCAAAATTTAATTAGGGGAAAATCCAAAATTAAGGAGAGGGTATTTTTCCTATATAAATGACAAATTTTAGAATTTTTCTTTCAAGGAAATTTTATTATTTGCGAATTATATGTAGGGGATCCAATGAGAATAGTTCGAAGTTCATGGAATTATGTGAAATTAACCCTAAATTCATAACATCATAGCGTCATTTTCTTTTCTTTTTAAGGAAAGGCCTGGGTCATAGTTGTAAACTGTTTGTCCTCTAAGAACAATTAAAGGACGAAAGACTTAGGAGTCAAAATCCAACAATTTCCAAATTCATCAGATTAACAAAATATTGGTACAAGGTCCTAAAGAATAAAATGAAAATAAATCGTATGAAAATATAGGCCTTTTTTAAGAGAATTTTGGGCATTAAAATAAAGCATATTTCAAAACAACGGATTCTTTAAAGGGCTCAAAGTAATCATTTCATTAATTATTGAGGCCTAAAAAGCGGAAAAGGGGTTGGGCAGAAATTGAAAATTTTTCAAAATCCCAGGGGGCTAAACATAATTGTTTAAAACTATTCCAGCTGAAAATTCAAGAAACCCATAACAACAAAGATCGCCCACCTTATCTCGCTCCTTGTCTCCTGCCATTATCAAATCAAGAGACCTTCTTTTTTTTCACCTGTTAATTCAAAACAAGAAGAAGATTCAATTAAGATAGAAATCAAGGCGCAAAAGGAAATGATTATGGCTGGTGAAATTAAACCAACATTGACCTATTTTTCAAAAAAAAAAAGTAAGGAGAATAACAACCAAATCTAAGTCGAAAAAAGCAAAAAAATATGAAGAAAGAAATATAACAAATTTTCATGCTTACATTTCTATAAGCGATCGTTATTGGTCGTTTTGAACAGGATTGAGAAGAGAGAGGTGACCACGAATCGACGAGAGAAAGAGAGGGAAATGGGAGGAGAATATTTAGGGAATTAATATAAGGTTAAATTTCAGAAAAACTACCTTAACTGTGGATGATTACAGATAAGCCCATAACCTTAAAAATATCCGAAAGACTCCCTCAACTTTTGGGGTGTTATCAGCAGTAGCATTTTATCATGGGGGGTGGTGGGGGACAGCAAACATCTATTTACATTTAGCAAAATGAGCATATCAAGAGATAGAAGAGATGGAACCCACACCTTTTCACGTGACGTTGTGCTTATCTCATGGTAGCTCATTTGACAAAATGAGTTGCTACTCCATATCCATTTTTTTCATTGTAAATTATAAAAAGGAGTTTTGTCTTTACCCCAAAGCTTTACCACTATTTATGTTTGAACCCACTTACTTATATTAGGTGGGGCACGTGATAGAATATATTAATTTTCTATTTCGAGATTATTATACTTGTGTCACAAAATATATAGTTCATGTGTGGCCAAATATATAGTTCATGGTGACCATAAAAATGTATTGAACTGTTTTGAATGCCTCCGTAGTAGGGATTTTAAACCGTATCCGTATCTGAAAAAATGTTCATAACTGTATCTGTTAGGATACAGACATGATTACTCAAATCTATAATCGATACGATATGGTTACGATAAGGTTTTATAGTGAAATATCTAGATCGGTATCTGAAATATCTGAAAACATATTACTCATACTATTACGATAGTTTTAATCCTAAGATTATAGATTTGAGGATAATCTTGATGATCAAGATGTTTAATCTTAGCTTTTCAAATATAATGAGCATACTAACGAACTCTTTTGTATGACATGAATTGTATCTTTTTCAATACTATCTAATTTTCTCACATCAATTTTGTATCCGCATGCATATTCGTTATATATCTGCAAGTATATCCATATCCAATTTTAACAGATATGGATATGAATTTTCCTTACCGATGTATATCTGTATCCATATCCGTATTTAGGATGGGTAAGCGAATATGAATATGGTAAGAATCATATATACGAGTCGTATCTAGACCGAATGCACCCCTACTCCATAGTAAAGCTTTATTGGTTTGACTCTTTTGATTTTCAGAGAAATAATAAACGTAAGAAACTTAAAATATGGCATTGTAAAGTTTTAAGCTAGATAGGTGCAGGATATGGTTTTCTATGTTTTATTATTACAGTTTCCATATATTACTAATAGAGAGATGATATGGAATTCAAACGTATTCTGAATCTAATTTTCTAGACGCATCATTCTACTCGAGTGTCAAACCAAATTTCCAACTAAAATGAGACATTTACTAACTCAATTTACTCCTAATATCAGGTAAAAAAAAAAAATCAAAGTTCATTGTGTGATTCCTTATATCAGCAACAAGGTCCCTAAAACTCTAACAATATTATCAATTAAAAAGAAAGTAAATGAAATCTTACGAAGGAAATAGATCCACTCAGTGAAATCTTAGCGAAGAAATAGTTCTTAATGCGTTTCGACGCCATAAAAATGAACAATTAGAAACTAGAGGACATCCATTGATCGTTACCTGAACCCTAGACTTAAATAGTGATTATTACCATGTGACCCGCGACAAAAAAAACATAATTAGCGTAAGAGTCGATGCCAATAATTCACATCAAGATTGCATTACACTTATATTAGTTATTAACTAGTATGTAAGACGTGCAAATGCACGTAATGCATATTAAATATCGCTTGAGATTGAATATTCGAAGGTCAATATATGACATTTATATCAATTTTTCTCTTCACGAATTTGCATACTTGTATATCTAATATATTGATTTTTTTAATAAACTAGTATGCAAAACGTGCGTTGCACGTGATGCATGTTAGGAACTCTATGGGGAAAACCTCTGAAGGTCAACTAATGTTGCATACATCAATATTAATATTTTTATGAAGCACGCACTTATACTTCACATAGAGTAGAGATTAACTCTAAATATTAATATTTTTATGAAGCACGCACTTATACTTCACATAGAGTAGAGATTAACTCTACAATAATAGTACAAGCATCATGCCATAGAGTAGAGATTAACTCTACAATAATAGTACAAGCATCATGCTTATACAAGAGTCTATTATCAGCACCGCCTTCACCACAATCTTCACAGAAAACAAACATAAATGGGCAAATTCACCAAAAATGCAACAACTATAAAAAAAAGAAACAAATCAAACAACAAAAATCTCGCAATGAACTAACATTTACCTAAAAAACAATTATGCAACTACACACAAATTAAGCAACTACATACAAATATGGTTTAGATTTATTCAATGTTAGCTACATCCATAATGAACTAACATTACATCCCTAAGATGAGAGTGGGCTTCTCATTCAAGCTACACAACCTATACAAAGAAAGAAAAAACAAAAACATGTTAGTTCAAAGATCAACCTTGAAAACAATATTGCTAGAGGATACATTTGCAGAGAGGAAAAATTGCTTGTTAAATACGGAATAATCCTTAAACTTGCAATATTATAAGAGGATGAGCTAAAACGAAAATGATAATTTTTACTTTGATATCCTAAAGTTTACATCTTTCTACTTCAATAGGCTGAAGGATTTCTTAACACTTTGATACCCCAAACTTTGAATCCAAATTTACTTCGATACCCAAAGTATTCATGTAACATTTTAATATCCAAAGTTCCAGTCATATATATTTCACTCTGATACCCTATCCAAGTTGTGTTAGATCTTTTGTTTAATTTGTATGGTGTCTTTAGCATCTGATACATTTAGATTCAGTTTGCCCAGTTGCTTAAACAACAGTAGAAAATTAACAAAAAAATCTAATAGATCTAGATGTAGGTATCAAAGTTAAATGAGATAGAAACATTGGGATATCATAGTGTTAAAAAGTACTTTGGGGTTATGAAACTAAAATACGATTAAAACAGTGGGATATCAAAAATATTGAAAAAAGTACTTTGGGGGTTTCAAAGTTAAAATTTAGTAAACTTTGAGATGTTAAAGTGAAATAGTAGGTACTCACTTATTATTTTAAAGATTTTCTCTGAGAGAACAACCATGTTAATCAACATATGGGTGTGTTAATGAATCGACAAGTTAAACAAATTTAAAAGTTTATAATTATAAATTGATGCAAGGGAAAAAAATCTATCAACAAGAGCTAATTTCTCCTAATTACTTGTATATGTCACAAATTTATACTCACATGACCATATCAACAAATTGTAGTTAATCAACTACATGTTATTCTCTTAACTTGATAATTAATACGGAAAAAATTAAAAATGAAAATAAAAAAAATCTTTAAAAGAATTCACCACTGCAACTAAGTTCATACCAAAACCTATTTGCAAGATGTAAGAATTAATATTTCTCCAAACATTCAAATCTCGATGATATCACCTATAATGGGTGATTAAGTGACAAAATATAGTTCCATGTACTTCTACTGATGATTGACTATGCTACTTTTGAAGATGATACTGTGAACACGAGACCGTTATCCATGCTCTTCTAGTAATAATTCAGTATGTAATTATATCTGATGATAGACATACATTGTGTTGTTGTGTCATGTGCAATTATATCTGTTGTCAAGCTCCAAATGGAGCCACCAAGACTGCCATCACCTTCAAAATTACCTCTAATTTCTTAGTAATAAGAAAGTATCAATACTCATCAATACGCTACGAAGTTGGCGCTTCATGGTGTTTAAGAAGTTCACAAATGCCATTCTTATGGTTTTCTTGGAGTAGAAGAAGATGATTTAATTAAAAAATAGTATCTTATTGACTCTATACTTAATTAAGAAGTATTAATATCTTATTATTAGATTCGTAAAGCGATCTTAAAATTAGCCAATTCCCACACATGCGAGCTAATTTCTCCTGACCTCAACATAATTTTCATCTACACCAAAGAGAGAGAGTATTAGACGAAGAATGATTGAGTTAACACTTAAATGACTACCTATTAATTAAACTCAATATCATCCATCTCAATGTTTACTTTCTAACAATCACTATCTAAGATTTCTTTATTCAATTTCAAAATGAATATACCTCTAAGATATTTACTTGTATCTGAGTGATTTTATTCCATTTATGCTTCTGTATGAATTTCTACATATGCATATTCTTCAAGGTTATGTAATCTTTGTCAATTACAGAACAATATTATCCATATCTTTCCAACTAATATTAATAGTTTTTATAAATAGACATTGCGCGTGCAATAGTAGCTATGCGCCGAGTTCAAGGTTAAAAAGTAAAGAATGATCAAAATAGAAAGCAACTCAAAATTTTTAGGAATCAAACATGTAGTCTTGTGAATCAAAGATGGCAAACATGTAGTCTTGTGAATCAAAGATGGCAAACATGTAGTCTTGTGAATCAAAGATGGTCATCCTCGTATTTAGGGAGGAATAAATTATGAAATGCATCTTCAGATGATGCCCCGTAATATTCCATAAATTCAATACATGCTCCAGAGATGCATATTTTTTGCGCAAACCATCGCTCAAAGCTTCATGTCTAATATCTATAAATGCTTAGAGGTCAATAATATAGCCAGAACAAAGTGCTCAACAATTAAAAGTACAAAAAGTTCTCCAATCCAGTATCAGTTATGGGGATTTAACTCAAACAATTAAAAGTACAAAAAGTTCTCCAATCCAGTATCAGTTATGGGGATTTAACTCACCTCATGTCAATCTTTCCACATTTGCTAAAAAGCTACCTGAAGTCCTAATTAGCGAGCATCATATTCAAGGTTGTCACAGAAAATAAACCTAATCTGTACTCTGCCACAATATGAGACGCCCAAGTAGGATGTCAATAGTGAGGCAAATACTATCAGTAGACATAAATATCTTCAATAAACACTCGGAGCGGAACCAATAATTAACAAAAGAAATAGAGTACACGCAACAAACGCAATAGCATAGACAATAGGAAAATGCATGTTTGACCTTTAATACGTCCAATTCAAAGCTCTTTCTAACTAAACAGAG